CCCCCGGTGGCCCCTCTCTAGACGATCACTGGCGTGCAAGTGACTTGCGTGGTTTTTCTGCACGTGCAAGTCGTTTTCGGCTCACTTCAGGCTCGAAGCCTCCATGTAAATAAAATTGCCAGATTTTTGGGAAAACAGAAGAACCAGGCTCTTGCCGTTAACAATCGGCGGCGAGCCAGGGGGCGCAAGCGAGAAGGGGCGGGCCTTCTCAGAAGGCTCGGAAGTGTCCCGGCCTTCTGAAAAATGTTCTAAGCCTACCCCGAAGACACAGACAACCTTTCAGAAGGCCGGACGGAGGGCTTCTGAGAAGCCCCGCCGCCGTCTCAGAAGGCCTTCTCCTTCTCACTTCCCCCCTCGCTCGCCGCCGAAACAAGGGTTCCATGATCGAACACTGAAAAACGAGACTCTCTGAAAGCCGGCGTGACTAGAGAATGTGTTAGGCACCGCGGACATTCCAGAGCGTTCCAGAACGCTCTGAGAGCGTCCCAGAATGCTCTGGAGCGATTTATCCTCATCAAGGGTCTGCCTGACCTAGTATGTGCGCCAAGTATGCGCCTAGACCATGCCCATTTGAGGTATGGCAAGGTAGGGCCTGTCCTCCTACAGGCGGATTTTGAAAGATACACGAAACTAATCAACAAATAGTCAAAATATAGTCAAGCATAGTCGAAACATCGTCCCAAGACTATGTTTTGACTGTTCTCGAACACTCCTCCTGCAGGGGACCGTGCCCGAGTGAAACCTACGATGTGCGCCAAGCGTGCGCCCAGACAGTCAGCAGTCTGCGTTCTGTGGGGGCCCACCCTGCCCTGGCGCTGCCAGCCCTCGGGGGCAGCCGGAGGGTCCCCGTGGGCGACAACCTCGGGGAGGCCTGCTTCCCATCACTCGAGCTTCGACTCGAGGCCATGGGACATCCCATAATCGGGGATGGACAGACCCCTCTTTCGTAAAACGTGGTTCAGTGAAAACGACCTGAGGCCCAAACCTGGCGGGCGCAAGCCTGGAAAATAGCGGCCACGGCGCCCTCTCGAGAACCGAAAACGGACAATTCACTAACTGGCCATCGCTCGGACGTCCATTCCCTGTGCTTTTTATGGTTTCGTGCTTGGTTTTTTCGCCAAATGATCGAGGATGCTCCTCGATAGTCCTCGCCGAAGGAAAAAATGCACACGTCCGAGCGATGCCAAGCTAACCGACGTGCTACTGCTGGGGATGCTGTCCACCCCCGACATGACGATCCCTGTCCTGGCGCACGACCTGGGCGCACGCCAGGCGCAACGTCGTGGCCCTCGCGTCATGCGACGCACGCGGCCAGACGCCCGCCGGACATGGACGACCGGGATGCGGGCGACGATGGGAACTCAGCATGAAGAGGACAGGGGCTGAATTGTCACAGACCGGGGCTATTTCACGCGGTGGTGACGTCGACAATGGTAGTGCAGCGATGCGGTTAGCGATGCAGCGACGTACAACACATGATAGGCCATGTGCCGGTGTAGGGAATGGCTGAGTCGTGTGCCATGTGAGGACGTGCCTGAGAAGTCTAGCGAGAGGGGGAGAAAGAAGGGCCAGGACATACGAGCTTGGCCCCCACCCCCTTCCGACAGTCAGGCTCTACGAAAGTTGAAGGAACGGAAAAAGGAGGAGGGAGGAGGGACGAGGAGAAGCAGTGGCAGTAGCAGGAACAGAAGAAGCAGAAGCAGCGGCACTTCTGAAGGAAATACCTCTCAGGACAGGTGGCCATGGCGCAGAGAGGAGAGGAGGAGAGGGAGGGGAGGAGGAGGCACAAGGACACGATGCAGGGAGAACGAGGAGGAAGAGGGAGGAGAGGATAGACACACCAAAAGCCGGTGCTATCGCTCCTGCTGTTGCTGTTCGTCTGGCGACGATCCACGACGACGGCGACGGCGGCGGCGACGACGAAAAACGATGGCGATGGCGGCGACGACGAGCTGGTCGCTGCGTATACAGCATCCGGAGGGCCATATGGGGGAGAGCCCCCCTCCGCGAGACCTCGCTCGGCCGGCTCCCTCGATGCCCGCTAATCCTCGCTCCTACGCCTGCGGTCCCACCTCGGTCAGCCGGGGGCCCTCTCTCGGCGGCGAGCGAAGGGGGGGAGTGAGAAGGAGAAGGCCTTCTCATAAGCTTCGGAGGTCCCCGGGCCTTCTGAAGCAAAAATTCTCTGCCTTCCCCGAAGACGCAGAAAACCTCTCAGAAGGCCGGAGGGCTTCTGAGAAGCCCCGCCGCCCTCTGAGAAGGCTTTCTCCTTCCCACCTCCCACCCTCGCTCGCCGCCGAGGGGGCCCTCTCCCTCTTGGCACGCCTGGCCTGAGGACGGAGGAAGCGGGGATGGCGCCGCCTGCCCCGAGCCCCGTGGTCCCGAGGGCGAAGAGGAGCACGACAAGGGCGTCGACGAGGGCGACGACGACGTCGACGTCGACGTTTGGGGGAGCAGGACGACGACGACGACGACGACGACGACGAGAGCGTCAACGTCGCCGAAGTGACCGAGGTCAGAGAGTCAACGAGAACGACGTCGACAAGGATGAGGGCGAGGACGTTCACGAAGACGACGACGACGCCTCGAGGATGACGACGGCGACGTCAACGTCAGAGACGGCGGCGAGGAAGTCTCGGCCCTGGAACCGTCCGAACCTCCGCCTCATCCTTTCTTGATTTTCCTTCTCCTGTTTCTGTTGATGTTGGCTTTGGGACCGTCGAGGGCGCAGCCATCCCTCCCCCCAGCGGCGGTCGACGCTGGGGCGTTGATCAAATAAAGATATCTGCAATAAGGGGCAGAAACACGTACCGCGCTGTTGACCACCCCCCCTTCCACATGGGATCGAAGCAAAACCAACTTGCACGCGGAGTGTGTGACTGTGACCTCGTGCGCCGGCAGACGATCCGCATGCCCGCCGATCTTCCCCAGACTCTAGCGCGCATCCCGCCCCTTCGCACTGCCGAGCCCCGAACTCCAAAATGTTGTCATTGACGACGCCAGATGTCGAATCAAACAAGACCTGGGTACAAGACCTGAGAGACTGTGTACAATACTGACTCTTTCCGGTATAACAACACCAAATGCCTTTTTGGCCCGACCTGCATGCGTAAAATAAGGAGGAAAACGCGAATCCCACCAGCCCTATGGGCGTCGGTGGTCTAGAGAATTTCCTCTTCCAACCCCCTTCCCTGGACGTGGACGTAGGGTTCCGCGGGTCGTTGGGGCGTCCAAGATGGCCCAAGACGGCTCCAAGAGGGCCTCAGAGAGCCCAAGATAGCCTCCAAGATGGCTCAAGATAGCACAAGATGCCTCAAGATGGATCCCAAGATGCTCCAAGAGGCCTAAAGACCGCACCAAGACGGCCCCAAGTGGCCAAAGAGCTCCCCACGGTGCTCCTCGAGAGGCCAACATCATGCCAACCCCTATGGAAAATCAATGTTTTTGGCTTTCTCGCTTTTTCGCTTCCGGTGGCCTTCACATGCCTCAATCTGGCTCCAAGATTGCCCAAGAGGGCCCCAAGAGAGGCCCAAGAGAGCCCCAAGACGGCCACAAGAGAGCTCCAAGAGTCCCAAGACGGCCCCAAGAGCGCCCAAGAGCCCCAAGACGGCCCCAAGAGCGCCCAAGAGGGCCCAAAAGGGCCCAAGAAGCGATGCGAGGCACTCTAGAGGGGCAGGGCTAATATACGACCCCCCCTTCTTTGATAGATCTCATCCAACATGGCCCAAAGAGCGCCCCGAAGGCTCCCAAGAGCGCCCCAAGAGAGCCCCAAGAGGCCCCAACAGGCGCCCAAGACGCCTCCAAGAGGCTGCCAAGAGACCCCCAAGAGGCGCCCAAGAAGCCTCCAAGAGGCTCCCAAGAGACCCCCAAGAGGCCCCAAGAGGCTCCCCGAGATACGCAAGAGGCCCCCGGGACCGCCAAGAGGCCCCAAAGACGGCCCAAGAGGCCCCAACACTTGCCATTGTCCTCCTCCTCCTCCCCCTCCTTCTTTTCTACCTCCTCCCTCCTCCCCCATCCCGTTCCTGCTCCTCCTCCTCCTCCTCCTCTTCCTCCTCCTCCTCCAAATTCTCCTTTTCCTCCTTCTCGTCCTCCACGTCCTCGCCCTCCTCCATATCTTCTTCCTCATTTGCCTCCTCCTCCTCCTCCGCCTCGTCCTCCTCCCCCTACTCCTCCTGCTCCTCCTCCTGGTCCTCCTGTTCCTCCTCCTACTCCGACGGCGGCGACGACGACTCCTACATCCTCCCGCTCTTGGGGTCTAAGGCGGCTTACCCCGCCCTTTGTTTTTTCGGCATGCTTTTCCGCTTCCCTCATCACCTCCACTCCCTTGGGACTCATTGCTGGACGGGCTGGTTGGGATATTTTTTTTGAATCGCGGCCCGCAAGGAAAAGTCCAGAGGGCGGTAAGAACGAGGCTGGGACACAGCGCGCGGGAAGCAGATAATTAACGGCGCAACACTGAGCCGGCCGAGAAGCAGCTGAGCGTGTGCCAGCAGCAAAAAAACGCTGAGCATCTGCCAGCGATAAGGCCAGTAACCGGCCGCTAAAAACGTGTGCCAGCGAGGGAGGGGGAGCAAAAAAGGAGTCGGACCCACAGGTAGAGCCAGACTGCCAGGAGAACGGGCCAAACAACTCACTCACTTGGAACGTCGGTCAGCCTGCACGCAACTGAGGGGGGTGCGGGCCAAAGCCTGGTAAACATCGACCACCATCGCTGCTGCTCGTCTACGTGCCGCCGCGGGCGCTCGGCCGCCCTCCGCGCGCGCGCCCGTGGGGACTCTGGACCTCCGGGCTGGTGGGGATACGCGAAGCGTCTAGAATTTGGTACATTACCAAATTCGTTTGGTACAACACCAAAGCCCCCTACAACTTTTCCAAACTCTCCCAACACGATTCTAACACATTCGGCTTTGCGCGCGTAAGATAACGACCAAGAAGTCGAACCTATACGATTATCCGTTGGTAGAGGTGAACGAGGGAGAGGTTAGCTACTTTTTTTTCTAAGTCGCCGCGCGGAGAGCAGCGCGGTGCGTTACACCAGTGCCTGAGCCGAGACGTGAGCGGTATGCAATGATATAGTGGTGAAATGAGCGAATTTCACACGCACCTCCCGTCTCAAATGCCGCCTGCCCCGCGATGGCCTCGGGCCCGCGAGAGACAACGGCGGGGCTCGGGAACAGAGGTGCGAGGTCCACTCAAAACGCCGTCACATCAACCGCACCTCCAAACGAGGTCGCATCGGTTAGGAAGGAGAGAATGGGGGGAAACCCCGCCACGCAGGGTACTTAGGGGAGTCTACCTGCCTTCAGCGGGCCCAGGGTGCGCCCCAAGAAACGCTTCGGCACTCATAAACGACTCCCCGTCGCCACGGGCGACGGGGCTGGGAGCAACAAACAGAACAGTAAATGAAAAACAACGCTGCGTGGAAGGATGCGCCTGCTTCCACCGGCGCGCAATGACATGTGCGCAAAGTAACGTAAATCGAAGTACTGAGGATCAGACTTACGACGACAACTCGATCAAATGAAAAGATCTCGCTTTCACATTAAAACACAAGCTCAAAATTATAATCGGGGCTCTACAAGGCTAAATTCATCTAGTTGTAAGATCGAAAGTTTGATGACAAATGACCAACTACATGGCGCAACATGCACAGCGCGAGGCGCTCGAGGCCTCAAAAAGTACACAATGATTGCCAGAACGTGTGCCAAAATCCGCCGATCCGGCGTGTGAGTTTCAAGGAGTCTCAGCTACAGCCTCGAGGCTGAGCTTCAGCCTCTGGGGGGGTCGCCGGGGTGGCTCTGCCGGGGAAGGGGGGGTGGGGGGGGGGGGGGGGGTGCGAGTTTCCGGCGAACCCCGGGGCCGCTCCGGGGGAGTGGAAGATAGGGGGGGGGGGGGCGCCATGCTCCGCTTTTTCCGGCGCTTTGGAGGAGGGGGGGGGCCCAAGAGACCCCCAAGGGGTTCCAAGAGGGCCCCGAGTCGCCGAAAAATCGCTCCAAGACGCCCGAGATGGCCTCCAGACGGCCCAAGGTGTCTCCAAGACGCCCCAAGAAGCTTCCAAGAGGCCTCCCAAGAGGGCCCCAAGAGGCCAGAATCGTTGATTTTCATTGGTTTTCTCAGGGTTTTTAGCGTTCTTGCCTTTTCGGGCGTCCGACGCTCGAAGACGGCCCAAGAGGCCCCCAAGTCCGTCCCAAGACGGCCCACGATGCTTCCAACACGGCCCAAGAGAGCCCCAAGACGGCCCAAGAGGGCCCCAAGACGGCCCAAGAGGGCCTCTGGACAGCCCAAGAAGGCCCCAAGAGAGCCCCAAGAGGGGCCCAAGAGGGGGACCACGAACCGAAAGAACCGAGCTTTCCGCCCCAAGAGGCCCCCAGGAGGCCCCAAGAGACCCCCAAGGGGCCCCAAGAAGCCCACAAGAGGCCCAAAAGAGGTTCCAAGAGGCCCCAAAACAGCTCCCCAGAGGCCTCCAGACTGCCTCCGGCAGGCCCCCGGTTTCTTCCGCGGCACCGCCCAGGGCGCCACCGGCAGGATGTCCTCCGTCTCATCGTTTTCCTTCAAGTTATCGCCTCTTCCTCATTCTCCTCCTCCTCCTCTGCGACCTCACTCCTATCCCTCAACGATCGCGTCACCGAGTGCCTCTTCTTTGAAACATCCTCGCTCTTCAAACGCACATCCATACACACATGCATACATACCTACATTTAAACACATTTGCATACATAGAAAAACAATCTTCCAGACATACATACTTACATTCACACACATACACACATATTATCATACACACATACAAACATACATACAAACTAAAAACATACATACGCGCACAAGCATACATACATACATACGTACCTACACACAGGCACACATGATCAATGCATGCATACATGCATGCACGCGTACATACACACACATATATCGTGAAACTCACCGCGTGCTCGAAACTTGAGAGAGACCGCGGGAAGTCGAGAGAAGCCGCGGAACGAGGCCTCTACTACTACTACCACTACTACCACAACCACTACTACTACTACTACTACCACTACTACTACTACTACTACTACTACTACTACTACTACTACTACTACTACTACTACTACTACTACTACTAATACTACTACTAGTACTACAGGTGCGTTTCCCAACTAGTATGTGTGTGTGGGTGATGCTGTGTGCGCATGTCTGCGGCGCAGGTTAAGTGGTGTGACTGTGTGTGTGCGTTTGAGTGTGCGCCCATAATTTCTGCGTCTGGAGAATAACCCCGAGCGACCCGGATCGGCGGCACTGGCCGAAGGCCACTACAATATGATGACGGCTTCAAAATAAGAGCCATTGGGATAATGCCACGCGCAGGTCGTACCCAGACACCTTCCCAACCAACAAAAAAATCGATATCATTCGATAGGACTGTTGGCGGGCAACCTGCCTGGGTGCGTTCATGCCCTGCGTGCCCAAGTGTAAAACATGACGTTCGGCTGGTGCGTGCACATAGATATCCAAGAGTGGGACGGTACGGTAGGCTGCAAATCCTCCTCCTCCTCTTCATCCTCCTCCTCCTCCTCCTCCTCCTCCTCCCCCCTCCTCCTCCTTCTCCTCCTCCTCCTCTTCCTCCTCCTCCTCCTCCTCCTCCTCACCCGCCGTCTCGCGAGAAAAACAACAAATCGTATCAACTCAAACTTGTCCGGACTCGGCGCCGGACGCCTCCCAGCGGCGCCCGAGAAACTCGGGCGGACATCCGAGAAAGGTAATTATGGGTTCGTTGTTTTTCGGTCCCTCCAAATCCCCCTCCTTTTTCTCCTCCTCCTCCTCTCACTCCTCCTCGAAGAGGGAGAAGGAATCCCAGGTGGATCAGGCCGTTTTTCTAACGACGGCGACCAGGACACGGACGAGAAAAGCGAGGATGTGGAGCGGTCCCCGTATGGTATCGTTCGTTCTGCCAGGACGAAGCATCACCCTGCCTTGACCAACTTGTCGAAATCGGACTGGTCAACCCACTGATTGCCTTCGATGCCGTCGAAGCGTGCAAGAGCGTCCCCATCCTCATCGATCTTCAATATTTCCCCCTTTTTGCCTGGACGAAGCTCAATGTGGCTTGTGCCCGCGGACTTGAACCCTACCTTGACTACAACAAGATCCTGGGCATTCCACACGTTCGCAAATTTATGGAAGTTCTTGCTGTAGACCCATTGCTGGCCGAGAGTGCCGAAGTACACACTGGCGTCCCCGGCGCCGTTCAGTGTCACAACTGTTCCCTCCACCCCTGCGGGGATCATGCTCCCGTTCTTGCCGGCAGAGTTCATGTCGGACTTGACTCGCACCGTCTGCCCACGCTTCAAGAGCTTGCAGCTGCTGCACTTCCAGATATGTCGCATGTCACTGACTCCAAGATTCGGCGTGCTCTGGCTGAGGCCGAGGACGCAACTCATCATCGTACTCGAAAAATAATTACAGTTCCGTGTGACCGGATGGTAGGCATCCGAGCTCCACTCCAGACCGCAGTGGCCGCCACAGACCACGTCCCTGGCAGAGCTGGCGTCGAAATCTGTGGTGCCGTATATGTACTTGTATGCCGCGCCAGTATCTGCGTTACCGATGCCAGCCCTTCGGGAGGAGAGGTACTGCGAGTACTTGTAAATGCCGCTGCAACTTTCACTACTATACCCGCCGCCGTACGAAAGCGTATGGCACGAGGCGTGCCTCTGTTCCCACCACTCAACTGGAATATCCTGATAGCTGGACCACCACGAGCCCTTCAGCAGGTCCTCGAGGTACGTCACGTCCGCCGCCTGGAAGCCGCTGCGATCGCAGAAGACGACCTCGGAGTGGTAGAAAGCCCCCGACATCTCGGTAACGTTGGTGCCCTCGGTGATTTGCGCCAGCCCTGCGACGTTCTGGCCGCTGACGGCACCCGAGACCATCCGGGAGCTCTCCCACGACCTGCTGCCCTTGTGAGCGTTTTTTTATTCGGCATTTCGACAGTGAGAGGAAGGGAGGGGGGAAGAGGGGGGGTCTGGCTCCGGACCTCTGCTTAGTGCGACTGTTTGCAGCAGTGCGTCCCATGGGGGGAGACTTCACCTGCTCGAAACAGGCGCCCAGAACAGCAAGGATCTACTCCAGGGGGGAGGGGGGGAGAGGGGGTGCAAGGGACGGCGCCGATCGGCAAAACAATTGATTAAAAAACGATCGCCTTCAGCTCGTAGACCTCCAGGAAGACGAAGTAGCGGCCGTCGTGTCGGATGCCCCCCTGCGCGGCCGCCCCGTGCAGCTCAGCCAGCGCGGCCACCGCGCCGTCTGCCCGAGCCGCAGCGCCGTCCTCCGCCGCCGCCGCGGCGCCCTCCAGGGTGCGAACCTGTCATTGCACCGGCCTTGCAGACGTGCTGCGGCGGATTGTTGTGTGAATTTCTGTTTGGATTGTTGCCCGAAGCGGCGAGCGAAAAACGAAGCAAATTTCGCATGGATTCTCTTTGGTCTTCATTCTTGGCCAAAGAAAATCCGCACGAATTTCACCTCGAAATCCGGAACGAAATTCTCCAGGACACTCTGGGCCCACCCTACCGTTTTCCGACCGAAATCCGCTCTGCAATGTTGGCGCCATGAAGCCTGGCGCGCAGCTAGTGCGAAGCCCGTGAAGCACGGGAACGCAAGGGCGAGGCGAGCCATCGCGGCAAAACGGAACTGTGTTTTGGAGACGAACGGCGGGCGCGTGCCCAAGATTTGTGAAGAGCGCCTGCTGCTTGGGCCAAAAAATGGCCATGGACGGATTCGGCCGCTTTTTGGCAGTCCTTAGACCACAAGGCGGTCAAGGGAGGGAAAAGACGGCGACAAACCTTAGGACTCATCCCTCCAGCCTTCCGGGCGTGAGAGGTTTAGCGCGTTTTCTGTTCCATCTTCCCACGTTCCCCTTCGGGGGTGGGTTTAGGGTGTCTTAATTATCCCTCCCTATTGATATACACCCCCTCCCCCACGCGACCGGGGACCAACCAGGGACAATGCGGACCGGGACAATGCGGGCCCCCCCCCCCACCATCCATTGCAAAAAACAATACGAAACACAATCTGCCTCCAAATTCGGAGAATGCGCAGCGAACCCAGTGCGGCCCCCCCCCACCCCTGTCAGAAAACAATACAAAATACTCTTGGCGGCGGCGGCCGCGGCGGCTGCAGCGGGGGCAACGGCTGCGGCGGCTGCGGCGGTGGCGGCGGCGGTGGCGGCGGCGGCGCGGCGGGGGCGTGCGGCGGCGGCGGCGGCGGCGGCGCAGCGGGCAGCGGCAGCGCGGCCGGCAGCGGCGGCGGTGGCGGGGCGCGGCGGCGCGGCGGGGCGGCGTGGCGGCGGACGGCGGCGGTGGGCGGCGCGGCGGCGGCGGCGGCGGACAGCGGCGGCGGCGGCGGCGGCGGCGGCGGGCGGCGGCGGCGGCGGCGGAGGCGGCGGCGGCGGCGGATTCGCCCCCAGTAGCTGCCCATCCAAAGACGACTGCTGAATGCGCTGCGGCTCGGGCCAAGCTCGGGTGCTACGTATGTGCTGGGAGGGCGGGTGGGAGTGAGCGAGACGGCTTGTGGGCGGGGAGGGAGTCTGGACCTCTATCCATACCCTCTCCCTTTGGACCTGGACGGGGCGCCCTGCGACCGATTGGAGCGTCTAAGATGGCTGAAGAGTGTTCAAGATGGTTTTCAAGAGGCTCCTAAAGGCTTTGAGGTCGCCTCAAGGCGGCTCCAAGTGGCACCGGAGCAGCCCTAAGAGAGCCCGTAAGGGGCCAAAATCTGTCCAAACCTGGGGGGTGTCCATGTTTTTTGCTTTGTCGCCGTTTCGCTTCCGACGGCCTTCCGAAGCCTCAAGGTGGCCCGAAGATGGCCCAATAAGGCACCAAGAGAGGCCCAGACGGGCCCCAAGGCGGCCCCCACAGCGCTGCGGGCGCGGCGCTCTGCGGCGTCCGCCACGCGGTCGCAGCAACCATCCTGCGATGGGTGCGGCGGCGCGTCGGGCGGCGCCGCCCCCGCCGAGCACAAGGCGGTGGCGGCGCGCGCCTCGACGGCGACGCCTGGCTGCTACAACCCGGGCGGATGTGGGTGGGGCGAAACGCGCCCACAGGAAGATGGGCGCCCCGCCTGCCGCAAACAATTATGGAACCTGCGAGCGGCAAGGCTGGTCGGCGCCGCGGACGGGTCGCGCGCGCTCCCTCCGCGGCGGCCTAGCCGCCACGCATGACTGTTCCTGTGCGCGGCAAGGCTGGCCGGTGCCGCGGTGAACGCTCGCGTGCGCTCCCTCCGCGGCGACCTAGCCGCGGCGCATCCGACAAAACCGCGGCTCCATCTTTCTCGCGTTTCGCGTGTCGTCGCCTCGCGGCGAAGCGCCCCTCGCAACCTCACGCGCTCGCTGCGGGGCGCGCGGACGCACGCGCATCGCGTCCTCGCTGCTGTGCCCGCGAGACAGCATTCGTGCCTCGGCTGTTCGCTCACCACAGCGCTGCGGGCGCGGCGCTCTGCGGCGTCCGCCACGCGGTCGCAGCAACCATCCTGCGATGGGTGCGGCGGCGCGTCGGGCGGCGCCGCCCCCGCCGAGCACAAGGCGGTGGCGGCGCGCGCCTCGACGGCGACGCCTGGCTGCTACAACCCAATGCAACAGCAGGCCGGCGTCAGCCGTCGTGTGCGCGCGCCCCCACTGCCAACGTCGCGACGTTTCTTACCGCGTGCGGGATGAAGGGCGCGACGAGCGCGCATTACGGCTGAGATGCAGCGCCTGCGGGGTCATGGCCCGCGGCCTCAGGGCCCGCGCTGGCGGAGAGGGCCATGCCCTCGCCCGTCGCCGCGTCTTCCAGGGCAGGCTGGTCCAGGTAGGCCTTAAATGCGCCGGACCTCCAGTTGCCGGCTCTCAAGATGGTGGCGAGGCTCCCCCCGCTTTGGCGGAGAGTCTCCGTGTGGCCGCGCCGCAGGCACTTCGAGGTGATGCGGGCGGCATTGGGGAGGCCCGCCGCTTGCGCCGACCTGCGCAGGTTGCGGGTAATTGCTGGCACGGGGAGCACGCGCCCGGCTCTGGTCGGCTTTGCCAGGTGGGCAAAAGGAGACGCACCCGGCGCGAGGTCGCCCAGTAGGGCGCGCGGGGCGTGCACTGGGCAGGTCGCGGTGCAGATGCTGCACCAGCACGAGCGCCTGACTTCGCTAGGCCTGGGCTTATGCTTTCGCCTCGAGAGGTGGAGTACGACCGCCTCGCTCGTGTTGAAAAGCACGATGGTCGGCACTGGGCGGTCCAGTTCCTCCTGCGTGAACCGGAAGTTGGCCGCCCGTGCTGGGTCGCCTATGCTGATCAACAGCGCCTCCGAGGGAAGCCTCAAGGCCAGTGCGAAGGCGACTACGAACAGCGCTCGCACCTGAGGGTCAGGCACGTGCGGCAACATCGCGACTAACGCCTTCCGCGTGACAGGGGGAGGTCGCGGGTCAGGCTGGGGCGCACGGTGCTTGATCGCGGCCTTTGCGCGCGAAACGGCGGGGCTGCTGAACGCTGAGCGGTCGAGGCCCAGCAGCGTGCAGGCCTTGTCGACCTGGGCTTTGTAATTGGCAAAAGTGCCGGGGTTCGAGAAGCACAAAGCCCAAAGACATAGCTCGTCCGCAGTTGGCGGGAGGGGGCTGTCCCCTTTTCCGAGCTGCGATTTGGCGAAACGGAACCAGCACCTCAGGCCGGCTGTCCACGTGCCGATGGAGCGCGGGGCACCGTTGAGGACGGCGGCGCACCGGGCCCCGAATAAGGCGCGCTTCCTGAATTCGGGGTCGCTCGGCGCAACGGCCAGGCGTCGAATTGCGGCGCGCGGGCCTCCTCTTCTCGAGCCCAGGGGCGACGCTTTCAGCGCGGCCGTCGCCCGCGCTAATTGCAGCCGCTGCGAGAGTACGCCCTCCTGTTGCGGGCGTGCGGGTGCCTGCGCGGCTGGACTCCTACCACCCGCCCGCGGGGGGGGCGAGGAGGACGAGGAGGAGGAGGAGGACGAGGAGGAAGAGGAGGAGCCAGCGGCGGAGGAGACACACGGCTGAGCGCACACGGGCGCCGCAGGCACCTCGTCACTCACGAACGCCGCCGCAGGTGGCGGGCCCGGCGGCGGCTTTGCTCGCGCGAAGAGCGCGATCGCGCGCTGCGCGTCGGGCGACAGATTCACGTAGCCGCTCCAGTTTTCCGGTGCGCCAACCGCCCGCACAGATGAGATCGCGAACACATCGCAAGAAACCAGAAACTTGGCGACTTCCTCAACGACCGTGGGTGACGCCCACGGGGTCGCAACGGCGATCTGGTCGGCGAGCTTCATTCTGGCGCGCCGAGGGGCGCGTTGAGAGAGGTCGCCCCGCGCCCTGCGCGCCTCTCGATAGCCCCCTTCGCGTGTGAGAGCGTTCGTGCCGCGTTACTGACGCGCCTTCCCGGGCGGCGCTCGCGTCTCTTTCTCTGATGCGAGCCTTGCGCGGGGTCGAGCGGGAGCGACCGGCGCTGGCCGGTGACGGCGCGGCTAAGGCGACGTCGTTTCGATTGGGTCGTCATCGACGTCCGCGCCCTGCGGCGCGCCCACCATCGTCGTGCGATAGTCGATGGTATCAGATTCGCTGCTTGAGCAGCTGGACTCCGGTTCGAGTTCCGTGCCGAAGGTGCAGAGTGCTTCGTCCAGTCGGCATTCGATGGCCAGCTGGATGGCCCGGAGGATCGTCGCGCGCGCGTCCCTAGCCAAGCCCAGGGACGGCACTGAATCCGCGGGAAGCCGCCCGAGCTGGAACCACGAGCGGATCCCGCGGCCCCGCAGCCACGAGGCCGCCGCGTCCGTGTCGCGCTGCCGCATCTCGCTCCTGAAAAGGGAATGCGCCGCGACCTTCGCGAGATGACTTGCGGTGTGCGCTCGCTGGATCAGCCGAACGTAACAGCACCTCCGCGGCGGTGTTCGATCGCGCGCCATGGATACGTTGAAAATGCCCTCGGGGCGGGGGCAGACTTGCCGCATGACGCTACGCGCGAGCGAGCGCGGGGTGACGGGTGGGCGGGAGAGCAGGAGCGGGGGGAAGGAGAGCACTGGCGAGGCCGCGAGAGCGCTCAGACGGGACGGGCCGCGAGCTGGCATGGCAGCTGGAGGTCCCAGAATTCTGGCCGCAGCCACGGGCGCCTCCAGGTGGCCCCAATGCGTGTCATGAGATCATAATCCTCCCGACTGGGCAGGTCAGAAATGTTATCAACTGGCGCGCCGCGGGAGTGGGACCCGACCTGACAGAGATAACGCGCGGGCCCGCCGGAAGGGACACGGTCGATCCGGAGGTTGATCTGGAGCAGCCCGATCACCGACCAGAAGTGGTGGACGATGGCCCCGTGGTCGCAGCACTTCGCTGATCCCTTTCGGAACGACCATTCGGCGATCGTGTTGTCGCTAAAGAGGCGAACCTTGCGGCCCCGGAGCTCCTTCTGCCAGGTGGAGATCGCCAAGGCCGAAGCGAGCATCTCGAGTCCGGCGATCTGATCGTCGCTCCGCTGCTGGAATTGCCTGCGCGCAGGCCGAATTGCATCGATCGGTCGCCGGCGCGCGATCGGGGCCTCGTTAGCCAGGCCGGCGGCATCTGGTCTGTGTATTCCCAACGTCCGTCGATCCAGAGGACGGCGGCCGCTCGTGGGGGCTCGCCCCGGGCGTCAGCGAAGGCAAGGACCGGCGGGCGGGTGTCCGCGGGCTCCCATTCCCTTGTCTCTGCAACGCTTCTCTGCAACACTTCCAACCACCACGCCAGGCTGCGCAGGGCGGGGCGCGGTAG